GACTCACGGCCCTGACTCAGCCCCACCACAAACAGCGTCGCGCGGCAACGCTCGGACCCATAGATCTGCCCCATAGCTTGGACCCGTAGATCTGCCCCATAGATCTGCCCCATAGATCTGACCCATAGATCTGACCCATAGCTTGGACCCGTAGATCTGACCCATAGATCTGCCCCACAGCCTGCCCCATAGTCTGCTCCATAGATTTCACCCACAGCCTGCCCCATAGCTCTGACCCATGGCCTGCCCCACAGCTCTGCCCCATAGCTCCTCCCGTGTCATGCTGTGCCATCCTGGTGCCATCACAGTGCCGTGTGTTCTGGTGCCATGTGTCCTGTGTGTCCCATGTCCCCTGTGTCCCGTGTCCTGTGCATCCCGGTGCCGTGTGTCCCGTGTCCCCTGTGGTCCCATGTTCCATATGTCCCTGTGTCCCATGTGTGTCCCGTGTCCTGTGCATCCCAGTGCTGTGTGTCCCCTCTGGTCCCATGTGTCCTGTGTGTCCCATGTCCCGTGTCCCATGTGTGTGTCCCATGTGTGTCCCATGTGCCGTGTGTCCCATGTGTCCCGTGTCCTGTGTGTCCTATGTCCCCTGTGTCCCGGTGCCGTGGTGCCCCCCCCAGTCGGTGCCGCTGTCAGTTCCCCCCGTCCTGTGTCGGGTGTTGGTGCCCCCCCAATAGTGTCCCCCCCCGGCCGTGGGTGCCCCCGTTGTGTGTCTGTGTGTGTGTGTGTGTGTGTGTCCCGGGGCAAAAATATCCACTAATATTTTCAGATTGCTTTTCATTGAGGAAATAAAATCCCGTGACCGTGTACAGTTGAAATCCCACTTCTTTCTGGCTGAAGGTCTGAAACTGAGGAATCTGAGCCTTCCTCATTTAGAACCAGCTCCTGTGGGCACCCAAATCTTGTCCCCAAGCTCAGCAGCCCCCAAACCAGAGGGCAACAGCTGGAGCTGCTCACAGGTGGGTGAACACAGTGTTTTGTGGTTACGTGGACAAGCACAGATACAGGTCGTGAAGCAACATCTTGTTTCATGGCTGATAGGACAAGGTGAGTTCCTTCCAACCTTGGTTTTGCACCACTGCAGAACTTCTCCTGCTGCCTGGTATCGTTGCTCTGGACCCTTTCCTAAGCTGCCATCTCAGAGCTACATCGGCTTTTGAGGCAGCAATTCTGGGTCTGGGAAATATCAGCTTTGTGGAGAACTTTGGCAAGGGCTGGTGACTGAGGTTTCCACCACAACTGGTTGTTGCCAACCTGAAAGCACAGTCCCTTTCGCTGTACCTAATGTTGCTCCTCTAAAACTACTTCGTGCCCATCAACTGGAGCCTGAAAGTACTGGTGGGCAGTACCCAGCAAGAGATGGTGGTGGGACACGTGGTGGCTGGTTGGCAAAACATCAACAGTACAAC